ATGTGTACATAAATTGTGGAAATATAGCAGTAAGGCCAAAAAGTCAGATGTCTGTCAATCGGCCATCCTTCACCAGATTTTGAAACAAATTGTCATGGACAGGCATCCTAACATGTATAAAGTACATGGACGTGCTCTGTCAGTTTTTATTTCAAATTTGGCACATACAAGATACCGTATAAAAAACAAAAAACAAGATGCCTGCCAGTCGACCATCTTTGATCCAATTGAGAAATAAATAGTCATGGACATGTATCCTAACATGTATAATCTATATACCAAGTTTGAATGACAACTGACACAGCATGTACATATGTCCCACACAAGGTACTAGGCACATGCAAAGAATGAATGGAATCGGCCCACAGGATTCTGAAATACGACTCTGAACAGACTGACGCACGAACGGATGGACACACGGACGGATGGACGGACAGACTCAGGAACTCACGGATGGTCGGGGACATGTATCCTAACATGTATGATCTATGTACTAAATTTGAATGAAAACTGACAAAGCATGTCCAAAATACAACATTTTCAAAAAACAAGATGTCTGCCAGTCTGCCATTTTTAATCGAATCGCTAAACCACTGCATGTGCATATGTACCACATAAAGTACTCGGCACATGCAAAGAATGAACGGAATCGGTCCAAGGGATTCTGAGATACGACTCCGGACGGACGCACAGACACACAGACGCACGGACGGAGACCGAATTATAAGTCCCCGTTTTCGGACTTCGTCCGAACGGGAACTAAAAATAATTACTCCATATCTCATTATGCATGTAAAGTGCATCAAAATTGAACTTGGATATTCTTACACCTTTGTTCATAACATATATAAATTTGAAACCGATCGGGTAAAAAATACTTGAGCTATCGGGCCCACAAGAGACAACCAATCAGTAGCCATCTCTCATTAATTATGCGAACAAATTGCACCAACATCGAACTTGGCCATCGTTGCATGTTTGTTAATACCATATATGAATTTGAAACTGATCATGTAAAAATTACTTGAGTTATCATACCCACAAGTCGCACCAACAACAACGACGCCCAAAATCTTTCCCTTACTATACCTTCCCCTTCGTTTAAACTACACTACGGGCAAGGCAATTACAGAATTGAAGATATCATCACGAAATGAACAAATCTGAGAGAGGTCTACCTGTAGTACCTGTATACATGTAATATTGTAAAAGTAAAAAGTTGACACGCAAGACGGTCAATCACTCATATGATAAGCACCGCTTGACAAAGTCGATAGCAGACCTAAAAAGATGTGCATCTGTAACCAGATATGCATTATCATGACACAAAGCTTGAATGAAATCACTGTTCGTCCCCAAGAGACAAACAGGTTTAAGAATCAGAATTTATCAATTTTGGGGATTAAAATGGCTGCCAATCGGCCATACTCGATCAAGTGGTAGTGAAAATTATATTTGCATATGTATGTCATGTGTATTAAGTTTAAATGTGAGTGCTTAAATAATGTCCGAGACATGGTACACATGAACGAACATACAGATTAATTAACGAACTGAACCAAAATTAATTGTCTATGGGAAACTGACGAACAGCAAAATGAATAGCTACACTCCACTTTGTTGACAGCTGAGCTAATAAAGTTAAACTACTAACTCTAGAAAACTGATTTTAGGGCTTTAGTATCACACCATGTGATGTTGCATTGAATATCAGATATCAAGAGCAAATATGCATATCTTACCCCTTTGTGTATCAAAAGAACTGTAAGAATAATGCTGCACCCAGCTTGGTCTTCTTGAATGCCACTGACAGGGTCTCGTTTCAAGGAGAACATTATTCATCACAATCATACCCGCATTCTGAAAACCAGGAATTTAGTCATTTACAAAAATGGGGCAAAACAGCAAAAAAAATATAACATGTAATTACCACCATCAAAAAAATTTGTCCTGCCACGGAAATACCACTCTTCACGATATATACATGGTCTGGTTTCTAAAGTAACATTAGTTATCACAATCAGACCAGTGTCCTAGTAATGAAAAAAAATATTGCATGATACAACACATAGATGAATAGAATATTTTCCGAACATTTTAGGATTATGCATGATAAGTAAAAATTAATGTAAAAACAGGACAAAGATCAAAACATCACATTGGATTTGATTCATTGAAGTATTTTTAGGGTACTTTCACTTTAACAGCCGTGCTGAGAATTATTTGGACAGTCACTTTGCAATATATGTTGCAACTTTGCAAAACACTTGGGTCTTTGCCAATCTAGACTTGTCGGCGCCGTCGTATTGGTACACCCACAATTTGGATTATTCCATTATCTATTAGATGCGGGTAAAACGCTGTTATTTCAAAACGACACGCGTCGGTTACCATATATTAACAGCTTATATGTTGTATATGCATTCAAAATGTTATTTTAAATTGTTATAACCATCTGAGTCCTCCATACATAGCACAAAAAACAACTCCCCAGTGTTGAGTGACTCCAGGTATTAATGAACTCGTCGTTGGCGGGAAGGCTCAAAGAAAAGTTTCTTGGCATTGGACGCGCTGCAGTTTCGCGACAGTTTTGAGCCAAACTTGCATTACTGGTGCATTATGTATCAAATCCAGATTTCATACCGAGGTGGGAGAGTACGTCAGGGATACACAGACGGAAAACTTGATTATAATGGTTTGATGAACTTTGTCAAATCAAAAGTGCCTTCCTTGAGAGCGATTCACTTTTTCAGCTGCAGTTTGAAAATGACAAGGATACTATCGTAATACTGTCCAACTCCCCGCACGATGTTCATGATTTTTATCGGTGCGCAAAGCAGGTTCAAAATGCCGAATATCTGTGCGCCAAGGTTACTGTAATCGAGGGATGTTCTCCAGCAGCACCGAAGAGTTGATAACAGAACGCTTGCAGTCGAGCGAAAATGAGACAGAAAGAGCAACAGTCAATGTCGTTAGCGGAAGTTCTGTTTCCTGTCCACGACAGCTTGATTTTGGAACTAAACAAACGTGGAAAGAAAGCTGACATCTGTAAAGAGTTAGAACTCTTGAAAGATGAAAAAATCGCAGTTGTGTCGCAACGCTGCGAGTTAGAAAGACATGTTAATGAACCACCTGCTGTGGGAAATAATACACGTTACACATGCACGATTTGCCACAAAAGAGGACACAGAGCAACCAACAACCGTAATAATGACGGATGTCTTGTAGGTGAGCCGTGCAAGGGGTATTCCTTCTATGGACGTTTAGACAAACACAAGCACGACCATGGAGCCAGCATTAAAAAATTGAAGGACAGAGAAAGTAGGTTATCGAAAACGATTGCGGAAAAACACAATGAATTGAAGTTAATGCAGGATTTTCTTAGTCGGTCAAGATCAACGTTTACTATAGCCGTAACACAAAAATTATTAGCTGCGTTTCCAGAGCGATATGATTTTAAAACCATGAACGGGAAAACAGCACTGCAGCGTGATATTACCCTACTTCGTCATGCTTGTGACAATAAGATCAACAATATTCCAAATACAGCCAATCCACAAGCCGACAGAGCAGAGTTTATGAAGTTATTTTCAAAACAACAGGAGGACATGTCGAAATTACCAGGTCAAAGTCAAGAACACATTGCCATTGACGACCATAAGCAATGTGCGGCATGCTGAATGTCAGTAAGTATGAGTGAACTGCATGTGGAAAATAATACAAATTAATATGCAAAGGCAACATGAGCATGGCGTTATTAAAACGGTTATATAATAGTTTTTTTTCATTAAATTTGTTTCATTTATTTTTTCATTTCAGCATCTCCAATTAAAAAAATCCAAACAGAGGATAACAGTGAAAGTGAACCGGATGCGCCTATACCCAAAAGAAAGAAAAAAAGCGGCATGGTCTTCGCCCTTCTTCCAGTACTGATGAAAGTGAAATTAAGGGCAATGAAGTTCACGGTGACACCAGCATCAGTAAAAAATCTCATCAAACTAACATATATCCTGGCTTAATGTATCCACAACATCATCAGTACCACCCAAATGTGCAATTTCCAGTGCTACCATATCACATGTACGGACATGGTTACAGACAATTTCCAGTGCTACCATATCACATGTACAGACATAGTTACAGACAATTTCCAGTGCTACCATATCACATGTACGGACATGGTTACAGACAATTTCCAGTGCTACCATATCACATGTACAGACATAGTTACAGA